TTCGTAGCTGAAAATCATTGTTTTCAAACAATAAAGACAAAAACTATCAGGTGGGAGAGTAGTGTTCAAATAGATCGGGGTTCACAGGTTTTTACTGTATGAAAAAGAACATAAATAATGTTAATCAACCATAGTAAACACAATAGTAATTAATAACATTATAATCCTTTCAATTTCCAGTTAATCTTATTTTCTCCGAGAAAACATGTCACATGTAAATGATTACAATTTTCAACGTATAATTGCCCAAAGGTGAAACATGATTCTACGGAACAACATATGGCGCATTTATAAGAAAATGTCACTACACTGCAGTAACTTGTTCTTTTTAACCATTTTATTTATGGAATTATTGTGAATATTTGTACGGAATGACCTTATGATCTCATGCACGTTATTGACAGAGACAGATGCTGGTGAGAGGCCAGTTATAATGCATACAATACCGCATATCATCTCTAATTAAATTATTCTTTCATGTCTTTACGTAAATGAATTCGGGTCATCTCGCACAGCTATATGTTCAATGTCGTCTTATACAATAAGATTAATACTTCTCGCTAGCTGGAGCATAGAAATTTACATAAAAGTGAGAGAACGTAGCTGTAAAGGGGTATTCACAAGATGTAGGTCTAGACCAAAAGCTTGTGTGCAAAATTTCAGATCATTCGCTCAGTCCGTTTTTCCAGAATGATAAAATGACCAACGCTTTTCACTAAAATCGGGCTTATAATAGCACAAATATGATTTTCAATTCATTTCTGAGTATATTTCCTTATTATCTTTTGAATATCCTTCTGTTTTAAGTGTCTAAAATAATCTTTGTAAGAAATGCATTTCTTTTTTTCTGTTTTTATACTTTTGGGCCTCAGTGGAGTTCCATTACCATAAGACTTTCTTTAGTTTTAAGATATCTACGACCTTTGATTTAATTCAATACCAAGGTCCCTTCAATTATGTTTCTTCTCTTACTTAATCAAGGAAAACTAATATCAAATAAGTTTAAAAGCAGGCACTCGCAAATACATGTTTTTTTTGCATTGGCCACTGTTTGTTCCAATAAATCATGAATGCTATAAACGAAGAGTGTTGCCAAGACAATGTGAAAATATATGTCTTTCTGTGACGAAGATAGGTCCCTAGTGATATTTATAGTAATGATCAAAATCTTTTCAGTCAGATAAGAGGTTCTTCTAAACTTACCATGTTTAGACTCATTATTAATCAATGAAGAGCTTTTGTGGGAAAGATACTATCACGTGTATATAAGTTTTAAATATAAAATTATGAAATAACATGTATATGTAGTGGTGCATCATGGAAAAGAAAAAAACAGACTCATTTTTACGATGGCCATTCTATAATTCTCCCCGTCATTATCACATTTAAATACATCAAAATATTACGTTTTACAAATAGCACTTTAATCACATTCTTAACTTCAGAGCAACCATCTAGATCTTCTCTTTCGGGTGCTACTAAAAACATTTTACGACAATGTAACTGACAACTATATATGTCGTTAACAAGCTGTATCTTCATTTTACGACATAGAATTCGTGATGGTCCAAAATTATTTGGAAAATCTGAGCCCAATACGCACGGCTTATCAATTATAATATTACAGGAACCGAGTCAAAGTCTGCTTTTCCGCATATTCAAATGAGAAACACGCATTATAATAATGCAACGCCTTCAACATGTAACTAGTAACGTTTAGTCTAAGATTAATGAAGAAATTAACGAAAGGGAGAAAAAAATTGCGATAAGCAAATCGTCCAATTCTATTGAAACAGGTATGAATAAAATAATGAACAAGACCAATTCTTTCCTGGGAAATCGCCAGACAAAAAAACATAGCAGCGCGTATCATATACAGTTTGATCTTTTCGCTTTTCCTGGAAATTTCTTGAATATTTGAAAACTCAAGAGACTTCTTCTAGATGTCAACTTGGACTCTTTGAAGATTTACGAAACACAGAGTATAATTTACTGATTGGTTATATTAGAATCCATCCGAACGATTATATGTATTTTGACTCTAACTAAAAAAACACTAACGGAGGAATGGTTTAACATCTTAATTAACTAGAATATCAATGGGCGTTTTTGGGCATTAAAATTGTCACAAATTTTAATGAAGATGTCAATAAAGTATATCAACTAAAGTACAATCTTTATTTAAAGAAACAACAACAAAATGTTAATAGTTTTCAATGTAATATACAAACTGGGTGTCTCCGGTGTGGATTGTGTACGTTCTTGTTTGTTGATTTGCTGTGCTGTTTTGTGTGCGTGCGCGGGTATGTGCGTGTATGCATGATTGCGTGTTCGTTTGTTTGTTTGTGTGTCCGTCCGTTCGTTCGTTCGTTTGTTTGTTTGTTTCATTATCAATACTAGTCTGAGTAAATGATATTTAATCGTATTTAGCAACTTGCAAATGTAATATGTATTGCATTCATAATTGGATGCGGCTGTATAGCCCAGCTGATATTGATTCTTGTGAAGTTAAGGCTTCTTATATTCGTATAAATGATTACCGTCTTGCAGACAGACAGGATAAAGGTGTCTGCAAGTCTCCAAACACTGCACTTTACGAGGAAATAATTTATCTTAAAACATAACACGTCTCTAATATTAACGTCTGTTTAAAACGATCAGCATATTGCAGATGAAGCCTGTAAATATTTCAAGGATGCTTTCAAAGAAGCCTTCTCAAAGTTAATTAGTGAGAACATATAAGCATATAATGTTGTTGTTGTTGTTGTTGTTGTTGTTGTTGTTGATGTTGTGTTGTTGTTGCATCTTGTTGTTTGTTTGTGCAATTACGTTACTGTTTGTTTCATGCTTTATTAAGAAAAATAAAAAAAAAGAAATTCATACGTGTATAATACACCTAGTTCAAAATTAGGGGAAAAAAAGATTTTGTATTCAGGGTCATGACTAATAATATATTGGGTAGACTCATCACAAAGAAAACGATACTTTAATTAATATGTGCAGATCTACAGTTTTGATTAAAAAGTATTGCATGTGAACTGAAACTTCTGAAATAAATATAGACACTTATTAATTATAGCTCTTAAGTTCCATGTTTGGCAAAGAAAAGACGATTTGATGTCAAGTCTTTAAAGCAGCATGCCTCAGGATTCATGCAAATTTTCATGATTTTTTTAAAATGTATTCAAAAGTATAATATTGTCAAGTGAACTATGGTGGTAGTTTCCACATTGCAAAATGACACTTAAAATCTATGAAAATTCAAAAGAGAAATACATACAGGTCAGGATATAAAAAAAATTAGCCCTTACTGTGCCAGTGGCGCATTGGAAATATGGTGCTTGGTGCTAAAAAAATAAGTATTATTAATTACGCATATCATGTGAATTGTTTCTTGAATTGAGAGTTTTTACTTTTCTTACAATATTAGTTAATTTTTCACAAGGTTGATTTTCTTGAAATACTGTTGCTAATATTGAGACATGCAGCTTATAATGTATAGATATGCTCGTATTTATTGTCACTTGAAACTTCGCATAAATATTTTCAGCTTGTTACATCTTCATGGGAAAAATCATTTCTTCTGTTTAAAGGTCTCTAGAGGTTAACATCAATATCATTTGCAAATCCATTACATTTATTTGCTCAATGACACCGCTTAAGTTTCATACTTGTCAAATCAATTTACATTAGAATACGCATTGATCGAACCCTAACAAGTAAAGTATTGCTGTTGAAATATCAATCATGAGAGAGTTGTTGCTCCGATATCGATCCGCCAATATATATAACCCAATATACAGTTTGCTGAGTTAACATAACAATATTCAGCTGCGATGTATATATGACTGGAGAGTACGAAACAAAAGTTGTGTTTCTGGTGGGTTTTTTCTCTCGTCTGATTAGCAAAAAACTGTCGTCTGCTAGAAACGAGAGAATTGGTCTGTAACATCACGACAGGTCCTAATTAAGTGAAATAATTGACATATTCGTCACTCGGCGTTCAGTCAATGAGAATTCTCTATTTGGGAGATCTTCATTAACGTGAAACTAATTTAACTAGTATAAACGGTGAATTATACGTTTTACCAAACGATTTATATATGCTCTTTCTATGTATATTATATGCATATACGTATAATATTAAACCTATCCTCCAACACATACGGTTTGTTTTCATGAATATTTAATGTAGTTGAAATAATGATGTGTGAGTTCAGTTAAGGAAGATAGAGTGAATCAAAACGTTATGGTCCAATTGTAGGCGTATGCCTCCAAGCTGGTTCAAAACATGAAAAAGCAAATCAAGCAGAATAATTCGCCTGCAAACTGCATCCTTAGAATACGGGCAGAGACAAAATGAAAGTCCTTACCTGATATACAGCTGTTATGGTCCTTCAGAAACAAGGCCCTCTGTTCTTTCAGTTCTTTCACCAGTGCCTTCTCTTGTGGTCCTTCTATTGCAGAGAATATAGATGCACCGATTATTAAATACAAAAGATAGAATAATCCAAAAACAACCAAACGTAGATTACTTTTCCGAAGCGGCATGATCAGTTTTAGTTATGAAATTAACCCGACTTGACTCTTCCAGAAATAAAATCACTAGCGCTGCAGACTGTCAAACAACTTACACGAGAAAGTACGCGATGTCGAAATAAGTGGCAATTTCTATGAATTTGGATTTCCATAATAAATGTCACAAGGCATGGAATTTAGAGGACACACGGTCTCAAATTCATTACCACTGTTTGTTTCCCTGATTCTGTTGATCTTCACCGCTAATGGAATAAATCAATAGTTGAGCGGAATCGTCTACTGTAAGAGTGTCACTTAACCCGCGGGAAAATAAAGTTCCTAATGTGTTTCCTATATCGAAATACTGAAGCAGATATATATTCGATGAGTGACAGTGTAGTAAACACACGCTATCATTTTCTTTCGTTTAATTTAATAATCACAACGTCGACGACAACGATTGTATATTTTTTTTTATTCGTAATGGATTTTCAAACCGGAAGTGGCATAGCTGTTTTCGCGGAAAATTCGATTTGTAAACAAAATTGTATAAAGATTTTTCGCCCATAATATCAACTGATAAAAGTTAACGTCATTTTGAAGGTACTGTTTATATTGATCTCTGATATATTGTTCAAATGTCCATAGTTCATGAACTACTTTTTGAAGGGCTACCATTGTATAAATTTTGTTGCAAATACAATGTGAATTCGCGATGTGCTTCCAACAATATAGCCGATTATCGCTCATTTGTTGTCATCAGAGTCATTTTGCACAGTGTTACAAACTTAATATTAACACATAGTGTATTTGAACTTACATTTATTGATTTCAAGATTGAATGATTTAAATGACAGTGGCATATCTTGTCTTAGAAACAAAATTGATATTTAAAATCTAGGAAGTGGCTAGCGGTACGGGCCCGTACGGCTAGCCAAAAGTTCTAGCCGTACGTGAGTCACGTACGACTAGCCTGGACACACTGTATTGGCTAGCCGTACGGCACTTTTCAAAATTATATGGAAGTCGAAAATGCATATGTTATTTTGTGACCTTAAACGACGATTTTAAACAAATCTCCGCATTTGTCCTAGTGTGTTCACTTTAATAAAGATGCTCCGCAATTTTGCCAAAAAAAAAAAAAATGAACACGAATTTATAAGCGTTGTATAATCTATCTTAATAAGATTAAGTGTCAAAGTTGAATGTTATAACGTCCTTAATTTTCATGCTTATGATTTGTATGAAAGATGAATTGTTAAATCTGTTAATTAAGCACATGGATCGAATAAACAATGATCGGAGGGGAATGAATAAATAAATAAAAAGAAAGTAAAAAAAACGGTGAAAAGGAAAAATAATTTAATAATGCAAACTTTCCTTAATGATGGACAAACTTCTATACCGTCGGTAATTGACGCAATTATCAGAGCCCAACAACAATTATTTTCGGTGTTTTTGTTTTGTTTGTTTGTTGTTTGTTTTTTTTAATTTAAAAATTAAACTTAATGAAACAAAAAAGGATTATTATCAAAATTTTGTAAACTATTTCAATTGATGTTATTTAACTGCAACCAAACGCTATTTTTTCTCGACGTCTTGAGATGACAAAGTACATTCTTTACTGTAGCCAACACGTCGATTAATCTCTAAAAAGTAAACATTCTTGACTAAAATCCTCGCTTAAAGTCATAATTAACATATGCACTTTCGCCTTCCATATATTTTTGAAAAGTGCCGTACGGCTAGCCAATACAGTGTGTCCTGGCTAGTCGTACGTGACTCACGTACGGCTAGAACTTTTGGCTAGCCGTACGGGCCCGTACGGCTAGCCACTTCCTAAAATCTAAGGATTTTATTGGTATGGTCGGTTAAACACTGTTATTATGTCGCCATTTAAACGGTTAGCATTTTTTCTAACCATGACACCCCTACTTCTAAAGATACTCGCGTAACCTTAATGGTAGCTAAAAAGAATTAATGTGTAGGACAAACTAATAAAAACAAAATCATTTTGTAGAACATGCAAAAATCAAATAATTTGAGCTATTTTATTTATGGGCAATTTCTCCATACTACTGTACATATTAATACATTTTCAGGGATAATGCATTTCATGAAATATATAAAATTAATGTGACTATTAAAATTAAGTAACCAGAAAAGTTTATCTTGCAAGGTGCAGCAGATAATATCATTTTTAGCATATAGGTATGGGGACATGCGCACTTTCTTTGTTTATTTTACAGAACTATATAATATAATAAAAAATTTACACCAACTTTAAAAAAGTTTTTCTTTTTCTTTCCAGAATGAGACTAACGTGTGATGTAGATTGTGTGAACAGGGCCTTGGCAACACACAATATGAAGAAGACAGGGAAATCAACACGATCACAGATATCGATAGGGAAGAAACCAGGAAATGGCCCGCTCAAAGAAAATGCTCTGTACATTATGCTTTGTACAGCAAAAGACAGAAATGGTACCAGGTATCCTGTATGTATAAGACAACTTTTCACATTTTAAGAATAATTCTCGTTTTTATTTGTTTGGGTTGTCAGACCAAACAAATAATGGTAGCGAAATTTCAGACCCTTTCACATTACTGGAGTGTCATTAATTGTTATGTCTTAAATTCTAAAACCCTGTGAATTACTTGAAGTGCATCAATATTGTGTGTTTAAAGGGGAAAGTATAATTATGTGATTATCAATTTAGTTTAATTATGTGAATATCAATTAGTTATCTATAATTCTTTTATCCTGGCAGGGAACTGTACATTTTACTTTATGAAAGATAAATAAATGTTTACATTTTCACAACAAATTTGTCATTCAGTGTTATAATATATATTATAATTATGTTTTATATGAAAATTCAAATATATTGTTCAAAGGACTTATCATTACAGATATTTTGAATTATTAATTTATTTTTTAACCATTTTGAGATGTGTTTTGGGCTTATTCACATCATTATCTTAAACATTGAAAATTATTCTCAAGATTTATTTGATATTCTCTTCTTTCTTTTTTTCAGATAAAAGACAATATATCACAAGTATTTACAAAGTTTGTCAATGAAGGCAAAGCTACCATAAGATTTAAGCAGCCTGAACAAGATCTGTGTATAAGCAAAGTAATTATATTCATAGAATTGTTTCAAATTGAGAGAGAATTTAATAGTTCACTGGCAGAGTGGCTGCCCATGCAAATGGTGACTGTTTAAGGTAGTAATTAGTTAACCAGATAGGCTGATATTCCCATCTTTGACTGCAGCCTCTGGTTCTTTTTTCTTTCCTTTAAGCTTAACTTTTCGAAGAATAGGGAGAGTTATAATAATTGTACTAACCTGGGCATTGTTTTTAGCTTTTTTGGGTCACACACCTGTTCTCTGATTATCTAACATACGTGTAACTCTGAGTAACTTTTCTACAGAGTTATTCCCCTTTCTTACTGTCAAGCACTGATATTAATAATAATACTATACAGTTGAGCATGCTATGTTTTGGACAGCTCTTGTTATATTATCATTGTTTGCTCTGAATATAAATTTTTCTAAAAAATTGGCTGATTAAAAGTTATAAAGAGCTATAAAGTTACAGTGTATGCAGCTATATCTCTGCTGCCAGCAGTTTACAGAATTTTTGTTTTAGATTTAAATAATAATAATAAAAATTCCTAAATGCTGGTATTAATGAAATATGTTGGGAGAATTCCCTTTAAAGGAATGAAGGGTGCCAAATGCATTGCTAAAGGATTAAGAACCTTAAAAAATACATTTGATTATGTAGCATCCGATTTTGATAGTAATTTGATGAGTGTCATTTCCTTATAAGTATATGCATTTATGCTGAGTTTCATTTCAATCCAATCAACCAGTTGTAAAGTATAGCTCAAAATGGATTTTTTTTTTGTTGTAACAAAGGGAACTAACTCAAAAATTCATATGTTGATTTTATTGGCTTTTGAAGTCTCATTTTCCATTTCAATTACAGGATTTATTGTTGTATAATTTCAAGAGACATATAAGAAACTGATAGTAAGATTTGGGATTGGCTGACCGATAGACATGCGCTTATGCCATTAAATTCATAACCCTTCTGATTTTATCAGCCTACGGATTATTGAACTGTAGTAACAAAACTGTAGATTGCTTTGTCGAAAAAATCATTCTTTTCAATTTAACTTCATCATGATAGGAACTGATGTTTTACTTTCACTCTTTAACAACTATATTATTTTATAGACAGGAAAGTGATATTTCAGTTATGTGCACATTTCAATACATTACAGGCTGATGTTATTCAGTTGAAAAGTTTTCTGAACGTATTACGGCAGGCGTTACAGGGGAAAAACCTTGACAACATCACGCTATCCAGTCTTGCACCAGCATCCTCTAAGAACATTGAGAAACCTAAGACACGACTTGTTATAACAACAAAGAGAGATTACCCACTGACGACTAATTTTCCTATGTCATTAGAGTCATTGCAGGTAATAGTCTTGCTCCAGTTACCTCCCTTTGAATAGTTTGTTTTACTTTTATTTAGATTCTGATTATGCCAGGCAGAGTCAAGACTGTTTGAAGTGAGATTAGAAATTATTCAGTAGACTGTTGAAATATAGCATTTAGATTCTTTATATATATGTACTTGAAATTGACAGTCTCAAGACCAGAGTAACATAAGTTAATTTTCTAAATTTTGATGGGGAAATATTATGTGGCACTGAAGCCCAAAAATCTAAATGTCTTGATTAAGGTTTGTAATAATTTTTAAAAAGATTTCAATTTATGTCCTAAAGTATTTAAAAGTCTTAAGAGCGAAAGGCGTTAGAAGTATTTAATGTCAACAGTAACGCATTAGGTAGTTGTTAAAACGTGGTCCCCTAATCTCAAGAGAAAAGTGGAACTTTTTTGCCAGGATTTTCAAATCCCTTAAAAAGGCCACACCCTGAAGGAACATTTAGAAACTAAATGCCTCATCACTGCAATTTGAATATTCTATGGCTATTTTGATGTCAAAAATTAAGGTTTTGACACAGAAATGTTGGGAAAATGGTAAAAACATTACACAAAGTAACCTCCATGCTTCTTGCAGGGTAAGAGGCCAGGGTTACAATAAATAGTTCCTCTAAAATGGTCATCTGAAAAATATAGAAATGTCCAGTTAACCTGTTTATTAAGGACATGCACCCCTTCAAACTCTGAAAAAAAGGCTTTTAATTTGTTTTACTACATGTTTCAAAGTATTATTATTAGGGATGGCAACAAGTAACCGGTTAATCGAGTACCTGATCGACTGTCCGAATATCGGTTAACAAAATTGATATTCGATTACTTGAAAAAAAAAAAATATTTTCTTTCTTTTTTTGCGATTTAGAAAGATTGGTGTATCCAATTAGTTCAGAAATTCGAAGATGTGCATGTATCTTCATAAATAACTGTTAATTGCAATCAAAACATCCTTGCAGAGGTGCATTACAAATTTAACGAGGCGATCAACAGTTTGACATGCACACCTGTGTCGCTTATGTCATCCAGCCTCTTATGATATTTAATTACCTTTAATTGTGTAGCCCAAGTAATTGTTTTGAAAACAACAAAGGGCTGATTACTATCATGAATGTAAGAATAAAGGTAACTAGTATTTAGACCAGGTTAAACTTTTGTTGCCGCCGATCAGTCTATATTATTTCAAGAAGAAAAAAAATATAGGAACTGTTATACATGTTTAAAACTTGATATTGCATTAATTAAAACATCGTAAAATATAATGTTGTTGATTTGATTATAATTTATTTGTCTCCCGTGCAGTCCTATTTTCTATCTACAGAATTCTATGAATTTGAATATAAAAAGAAAGTAGCTGTGACAGTGTTGATATTGTGTGATAAACTTTGAATATCACTGGAAATCATCCGAGTAACAGAGTTCTCGATCGGAAAAAATGACCGAGTACTCGAGTTTTGATTTTGGTATGCGTTGCCATCCCTAACTATTATCCAAGTGTATTTTAATTTACAACTTCACGAAAGAGTTATTCAAACAGTTCAAGTTTAAATATCTCAAATGTTTATCAAAGAAAGAAAAAATGTAGGTTTCCAAAAAAAATGTCAATACTATGCTTCTTCTTTCACTTTTTGAAGAAAATGACACTTTAACTTCACAATTTAAAAAAAATATCAAACCTTGTCTTTCACAAATCTAAAAGGATCAAACCCCTTTTACAATTTAGGCATGGGGGGGGTGTCTAGTCATGACATTGCAAACATTACAGTTCTCATGCTTATATCCCTTAATTGACAAAGGAGGTTATTGGAAATTCTTAAGGAGAGACACTAAAAAAAGTGTTCGGTCACCACACTAAATACTGTATACTGGTATGTACCATACCAACCACCTGAATAATGCTAATCTTGCCTTTTCACATGCCAAAATGCACTGTAAGATGTCTAATTCATCTCTTTAAACAGATTTATATACGATCATTTAAGAAAATAATGCTAGAAGCTGAGATTATGATTTCTGCAAGCGTCTGGAGGCACTGCTCCAACACTGTATTGAGTAAAATCCATTCTAAGGTGTGATTAAGATAAATATCCTACCTAATTACTAGATTACATCATTGTCAATTAAAACTGTACAAAAGTATATTCTATAATTTCAGGTATCTGAGTGCCGTATGAAGAGAATTGACTCAAGAATTTTCAACTTGCGGAACCTTACGAGACTTGACCTGAGTCACAACTGCATAGAACTTGTTCCCGACGAATTATCAAAATTACGGAACTTGTCAGAACTTGTGTTAGCCCATAATAACTTAACAATTTTCTCACCGAGTGTATGCCTTAAGGAGTCTTTACAAAAATCATTGAATTTGTTAGACCTAAGTGACAACAAAATACAGAAGCTGCCGTTACAGATATGTGAACTTATGCACCTCGTGAACTTGAAATTTGATAATAACGAAATGGAAATGTTGCCACCTACAATCGGTCGATTGAATAGACTTCAGTTTATATCTGCTTGTAATAATAAATTAAGAGTTTTGCCTGCCAACTTCATGAAACTGAGGTTAGACAGTGTGGATTTGTTCGGGAACAGTTTTGATGCGATTGAGAACTACCAAATTTCAGCAGGGTCTGTGGATGTGCCCACGTTGATGGAATGTGCAGCAAGATCAATAAAGAAAGAAAGGTAACAAAAAATATGTGAAAAAGATGTTGTTTTAAAAAGTTTTTTATGAAAATTTAAGTGTCAGTATTGTAGACATTTCTTGTAAATTTTAACAGTCACTTTTAAATGACCTCTAATTGAGACTGTGAAGGTGAAATGTTAAGAGATTTTGCACAAACATTCTAGAAGGTTTCCAATTCCATTATATTCACAGTAATATAACAGAGATAATGGTATTTGCACTGTTACTCTATTTCAATATTATGTGCTTTACTATTATGATGTTCATCCATTTCTGATAATAATTATTCTTAGCTGGAAAAGACACATGTATTTAATTCATGTTTGGCATGTACTTTCATTATGCCAGTGCATAGGCTTTGAATGTTATCTCCTCTCTAAGACTATACAAAATATCTTAATGTTTGGGTATCAGTTTGTGCATGTATTTATGATCTTGATCTTGGGACTAAAACATTGACACTTCAGATGTTAATAGCTCCCACAATTAGAAACTGAAATAGCCTTTGCCAATCATAAATGCCTGTGATATTGACCAAACGTCTATCTCCAGTTGATAATTTTTCCTTGCTTATTCATTTTGAATACTAATTTATTGTGATTTTTTTATGGATACATGTACAAACATTTTGATGAAGTAATTTATTTTTTACATAATACATTATGGCATATATATTTGTTACAGTATAAAGTGACAGGACCCTTAGCTTGACTTTGAGATGAACTATGATGTTAAGAATTTTTTTGCCAAAATGACCATTACAACGGCCTATAGAGCATGTCTTCAAATTAAGTAATTATATATTCTAACACAACTCGCATTTTTCCCTATTGAACAAAGAAGAACCGAAAGTGAGTGTTATTATGCATAAAAATCACTGTTGTTGTTCTATATAAAGAATTGTGACGTAATCATTATAAATGTGACGTTACCACTAAAAATGGGATACGCTGAAAATAAGTACGAAAAGAAATCGGGCACAGTTTAGCTTGGTATCAGGTATGGCAGCATTTATTTGTTGATGTCGTGTTAGAATCGAAATAATATATCCAAATCGGTGATTTTATCGCTTGATAAAATCACTGTTTGTCGTTCGGATGCGCATCATTATATCACTCGGGCTACGACCTCGTGATATAATTCCTGGCATCCGAACTCCAAACAGTGATTTTATTGAGCGATATAATCACAGTTTGGGATATATTAGTTCTTAAACAAATGTCATATCTACAAAGCTGCAGTTATAATGTACTTTTTGTTGTTACAGAGTATCCTATTCTGAAGAGGACCTTCATTTACATCTATGCCGATACCTGGACTCAGCCAGGCAGTGTTGGTGTGGTAACTACTGTTTCCAGTGCAGTGTTCGATACACAAGCAAGGTGGATCTGCGCCGTGTAGCCACTACAGTTACAGCTGTGGATGTACAAGGAGGGACTGGGGTTCCCGTGGAAGGATTTCTGTGCTCGCCTCAATGTCTGAAAAAGTTCCAGAACAACCCAAATGCCTACTGGAAATAGCTGTTTAGATTAAGTGTTGGAAATATTTATTAAAACTGACTGATCAATGCCAGATGGAAATGAAAATGTAGTTAGTGAACTTTAGTGCTGGAAATACATGTACATTGTATTAGATAAAGTGCTGGAAATAGCTGTTAAAATTTAGGGCTGGAAATAGTTGATATTTATTGATAGTAATAGCTGATGGAATTTAGTGCTGGAAATACATATTTGAATTAAGTGCTGGAAATAGCTGTTAAAATTTATGCTGAAATAGCTGTTTAAATTTATGCTGGAAATAGAAACTGTACAGAAAGATGACTTTTCAGGAGAAAGAACTATTGACTGTGTCTGTACATATTATATATGTGGATTTCTTTGTTAATTTATAAAACAATAGTTTGTATTTGTTATAAAGCAATTTTCCCAAATGTTATCAATTTAACATTTTTCTAGAACATGTAGAAATTAATTCATGCAGATATTGTTTAAAGGAAAGTTCTTGATTGGTTTGCATTTATTATTCTATTTAAATAAATTGAAAGAAAACCTTTATAAAAGATTGTTGTGTGCTTTGTTGGAATGTTTGTTATGTATCAAATTAAATATAAGGATAATGTATGTACATCTACATTTATGTTATTGGAAACAAAATCCCGTCTATTTCACTGCAAGATTTTAACAGCCTGGTGAAAATGCCCGATCGGGCTTAAACATGAAATATCATATTTCTGGGAAAATAATGTATATGTTTCTTTCTCACTTGTTGTGTTTATTAAGCATTGATATTTTTTTTTTTCCCATTTTCTAGAAACAAAATATTTGAAGTTCATAAAAATTATATTGTAATGTAAAATGTGTCCAACAACTTCATTTTGCTCTAGATTATTGCGCCAATACCTTTATTCTATATATTTGGATTAAATATTCTGTTTCTGGCATTTATATTTTGACAATTCTTTGACACTGAACATTATACTTTGAAGTTTTCTCTGAAAACTGAATGAAATGTATGCTGACAGGTGTTGGCGCAATGAATTAGAGCATAAAGAAGTTATTTAACCTATTTTGTTTTACACTTTGCATATGTAAGACTAACATACTTTTTAAAGACTTCAAAAAGTATGTGTTATATAAACATGAAAAAAGGGAAATAAATCTAACAAAAGTGACAGTAGCCAAACATCTTTCTTTCTGTGAATGTCAAATATTATTCTCAATAAACAAAGTTTAAAAGAAATATCTTTATTTCTTTTCTAGAAATATGATTTTTTATGACATAAGCCCAATCTGGCATTTTCACCAGCCTGTTAAAGTGATGATATAAAATCATGCTTTTCAAGCAGCCTTCAACTTTTCTAAAGGTTAAGTATGTTATTTTTTAAATGAGTATGATGGACATAAACATTTTTTCTAAGTCTTAAAGCAATACAGGTATACAAAAAGTGGGGTGGTACAATCTTTATGTTGATAGGGCATTATTTTGTAAACAATCCTGACATGAGTTATATCAGCTTGCCATGATGTGGGTATAACATAATGGTAACTGAAGGGGTAAACTTAAAAAAAAAAACTTCTCTCAGTTAGCAGCTTTGTTGATTCAACCTACATTCAATAGTCTAATTTATCAAGCAAAGGCAACAAAGGACTGAGACTTCTTGTTTACCCATGAACTCCATAACTACAGAGTAGTGGCGACCTATACAGTAGGGATCACTTCTCCGTCGTCTGTCCGTCTGTCACAAAGCTTGTCTTTCTGGACTACTTCTCAAAAACTACTGGTGCAATTTCATCCAAACTTTACAGGAATGATCCTACCAAGTCTAGTTATGGATCTCCTAAACATTTTTCAATTCATTAATATTTGTCAAAGTTATGTCCCTTTAATGATTTTAATTTTCTTAAATTTGTCCGGATTACTCCTCTTCTACCACTACAGTAATGCAATTACAATGAAAGTTACAGACCTGACCTGTAGCTCAAGTACTTGCGCATATTACTCGGGTTTCCTGGTTGAATGATTTTTGCTGAGTTATGGCCCTTGAATAAAAAAAGACGCATTTTGCCTTGTCAATAATGTTTGTGTCTCCTGCTACACAGAGACAGCAGCATGCAATTGGCTAAAAGGAGGCGACACATGTGATCACTGGTCGCTCTTGTAGGGCATATCTACTAGAACTTGTACTTAGTCTAGTACATTTGTATTTCAATTTGGGCCATCACTGCTTTACTTAAACACCATAAAAGACATTTCCCTTTAAGGTAAATTTTTCAAAATTAAGAAATTTTATTTAAAAACGAATTTTGACTCCATTCAACCGGGAAGAAATATTTATTTTGATTATGTTTAAAATGATACTTCTTGATCTTATTATAATACACCTAAATGTTTAAATCTAATGGGAGATAGGTGATGTAAATCTATTATCATTATTTGGGTCACACACTCAATTGTTTATCACTTTGTTTCGCAGTCTTTTTATCTCTCTTCATTTCCTTTATTTATGTACTGATGGACGAAATTGTTAGATAAACTTTAACCATTTATTTCAATCTAGTTTCTTCATCGTTATATATGTACTTTGTACGATGAAGTTATTCTAAGCTAAGACAAAATTAAACTTGAATAATACTAGATATGCCCTTTAAAGCCGTTCGGGTGGCGCGCGCCAATTTTATGTAGTTTTCAGGCAATTTCATTTAATCGTGGCTGGTTATTAAATTGCATATAAATGACGGTTATTTTCTCATATTTGAATGCCAAGTCCAAAGTGTTTCGGCATACGACACGTTCATGTCATTGACTGCTAATGTAGGACAATTGACTGATATACTTTTAATTTGGAACTGTCCATTATTTTAAGGGAGTCTCGATACGCGGGCTGGTCCACCGACGAGTATCCGAAGATTGACGGAAAGGAAATTTATGATTATCGCAAGTTACGACTGCTAGCATTAAAGTTAGACAGACCAATGATATTCCCGTTTGCCCACTTTTACAACATAATGAAAATAAGCGATAACACGAGTTATGTTACATACATATCGAATAAGTTTTCATTATCATATGTGAAGTAGAAATTAACATATGCTAGATATGTGTTAATTTCTTATATACGAATGGATCGTTATGATATGACTGGAGTTTATAACCGTATGTCTATCGTTAATTGTGGCTACGGACACTTATTTTCTTTTTTACTGGACAGAGAAACAAATAACTTCATTTCTTTTTATTTGGCCTTTGAAATGTTTGACTATTGAACTTGTGATATACAATCTGTTGAAATAATGGCCAACGTGAGCAAAGGAAATAATGAAGCAGACGACAAACATTTTCCGGGATATACCGAAGATGCATTTCCGGAATTGTTCGATTCCAGAGCAATGCCTACGCAACCAAAGGAGCTAAAACCTGGACAATTACCAGAAGATCAAATAAGGGAGTATTTTGAAAATGTAAGTACAATGTTCTACACTAACGTACAGGTTCACTTAAATAAGATCGGTTATACAGTAGTACAATAAAAACTGAGTCTTTTTTCATCAACATGTCGACTTTAGCACTGGCATTTATGTCTTAAACTCTTAATGTTGTCTCTTCATTTTTACCGTGCACGTTATTCATACCCGTAACGTACACGATACATTCTGTAGTGCTTGTAATATAAATTTATTCAACGTCACAAATATGGCAATCTAGATTGCAATTAAATGTAAAAGAAAAATATAGATAAATAAATGAAATCTTTACTAAAGAATTAATACCGCAGTGTGATTCAGCATATTGTAATTAAAGTGTGTTGACTATTTTATAGACACGTTTCATTAGTAATCAAGGTGTCTACCTCTCGGCCTAGGGATCCCAAGTCCGTGTCCTGTTAGGTTTTCTCACATTAAACCAGTATTTTATATTATATTGTATATAGATGAGACTGGAATAAATAAAAAATATCATTAAACCAGTATCAATTAGCACATGACGCTTGTCCGAGGTCGCAATCGTTATTTTATCTAAAATTGATACATGTACATATATTTAACAAACTTTATGTATGTATAAAGGGAGACAACTTCATCAAAACACAATAATAGTTTGACTTGCAGTTATATACCTTACTAATGTAATGGATTTTAAGTATTTTTCTCTTCAATGGTTTTAATCAGTGTTGATTTATGTGCATATTCCTTGGTACATTATTCCTCTCAAAAATAATGAATGGCTTTTATGTAATTATAAAATTATAAATTATAAAATTAATATTTTAATTTAAAGGGCTACATTGTAATAGAAGATTTCTTCAAAGATTCGGAGTTACAACCTATGAGAGAATGTATTAACCAAATTGTGGACGATCTCGCTCAGAAATTGTATAAAGCAGGGAAAATCAAAAGTATGGTTTATTTCTTATTCAAATACAAAATTGTCTAAGATGAATAAGTTTTTATATGAATTATGTCGTGTCGTCTTGTCTGTGTTTTCCTTTAAACTCTTAAGATATGACCGAAAAGTATTGTCTTAAAGTTTCAATGAACATATAAATGTATTTGTTAAGATAATGTAGGAATTACTGTCGTTCCTCTGTTTAACTTTTTATTTTAAGAGCAAACGAGTGGTCAAATGGTATATAACTCTTTCAGAGTGAAACTATATCCGGTTTGTGAGCACAGACATGGTAACTTATGTAACCTCTTGAATGTGGTACACTAAAACGGTTAAAGTAACTATGCGTACTTTCGTTTGGAATGATCGCTCTTACTGGGTTCTGATGGTGACTTCAAATAAACGCAAATAAAAGAATAATACTACAATTTGAATAAAGGGTCATTCCCTTTTGACTCATTTAAAATGCCGTTCTACACATGTATTATGTTTCCTATCAATAAATGCATATGGTATTTATTTGAACCATGACTGTGCTTAAACCATGCTACATGTTTATAAGAGATGTTCGTCTGCTTCAGACCTGTATGAGGAGTACGGTTTTACAGAAAGACTGACAAAAATAGAAAGCGAGTTCAAAGGCTCGAACATTATCTGTTCAAAAATCGGAGCAGTGCCCCAGGTATATTAAGATTTATTATATAATTTTTCATAAATAATTATAGAAACGCTAAGTAGTCTTATATAAATTATGTTTTTTTATCGATATGTGCTATGACATTTTTGTAGTCAACACTTAACATGCTAAATATATGAGCCGCGTCACGACAAAACCAACATAATGGGTTTGCGACCAGCATGGATCCAGACCAGCCTGCGCATGATCACCGACAGCATCTTGAAATAGCAGGGAATCCATGCCTGTTATGCCAAACACTTAACCCAATCTCTATTACCAGTGGGAACACTAATAGCGAAGACAGCGATGGATATCGCTAGAATCATGACTGGCCGTCTGAGCGAAGAGTGCAGACAAATAAAAGTCGGATCCATGCATGAACGACAAAACCATTATTGACGACTTGGTTATCGCTGTCAAATATTAAATGCACTTGTCCACGGCTTATTAATCTGGAGACAACAATCACACGACAAATACAAAATCAATTTTTCCCACCCGAACACTTATGTTTCCAAAATAAAGTCACTGACTGAAAAGTACAAGCGAACAGTTTCGTACTAAGCATCAGAGCAAACAACGAGAATGTGACCAGCTCATGCGTCGTCGTCTGCATCAGATCGCAACAGCGATTAGAGTCAGTTAACGCCCTAAGCGGAAGGTATATGGAGATAAAAGTATTATCCTCATTGCACATTTAATATTTTAGTGCGACTGAAAGATTTCTGCCCAAGTTTCAAATTGACAGCGCTTCCCTCTACAATCTATGTACACAGAGCAACTAGATAGAGGCACCCTTGAATTGCGGGAAAATCACGCTTGCGGTGGCCAAATTTAAACGAACTCAACTCCTCCCCAATATCCCGTCACCAAACTGTCCTCCGTGGCATCAAGTTGTAATCAGATCTCTATGAATCAGGACAGTCGCGCATATTAATAATATTATATAAATGGTTAAAAAGCAAAGCCAAATACGAATCTTTTAAGAAAGCGTTACGAGACTCGGGTTGCGATTCCGAGTCTGTTCAATGTCAGAAACTGAGGCGAAAGCATTCAAGCTTAATTCTGTTCCACGCCCCATAGCTACCGGCAAGAGTAAGATTACGATGTATTAAGTTAAAAATCCAAAATTAAATTGGAAGATTAAGTGCATTAAAGTAATAAATCACAAAGGCCTTAGTATAGGTTATAATAGAAATTAACTTAGTAAATTATTGGTTAAGTAGTGAAAATCAAAGGCAATGGCAATTGTTAAACACCCAGTGCATCTGGCCTCTTTGTAGAAATAAGTGACCACTTATCACCAAATCTTTGAAGTTCGTTGTTAGTATAAGAGCTTAATTCGTCTTGACCTGTCATCCTTTATTACTCATAGATGATAACGTACTAGAGACATACGACCCCTACAAAGAGGTGTGTCCAAAGACCCCCTCTGTATAAACCAAACAGCCTGGATCCCCTGGCCGTCGACGCCAATGAGAGGAAACCCCTTCGTGGAAGGCCGCAAATTACAGTAGGGGTGAAAACAGTTTCGGTTAGTATCAAAAATAGAGCGCTTTTCCGAAACTGTAAATGACCCTCAATAATCATAAACTAGACCCAACGAAAAATCTGCGTCCGTTTTTTCGAAACCTTCTAACGCTGCGTGTTACGTTATAGCGTGCAATCGCTGCGATTGCTGAACACGACTTCCAAGCGTGAATCGTTTACAAGCGAGTTAACGTTTATCGTTTTCCGTGTATCGTTCTCTTCGACTTTATCGTGTGCGTAATGAAAAGCCGATGACATTCCTCTAATATTTCCAGAATACGTTTTAGCGCGTCTGACGTTCTCTAAGCGAATTTAGACGAGTCTACGTCTAAACACCTCTCTGCAAAATATTTATAAGTAAAAGAATAGCTCATAGATATATTATGTAAAAATTTCTTGTTTTCCTTAAACCATGTAAGAGATGTTCTGTCCCGTGTCCCCAAATGAAAGAAATATTATATAAAGGAAGTATTATTGTTACGAATAATATATAACATAAAAGTTTAAAGATAATGTCCAGAGCCCTAACGCGCAGATACAGGTCAGAATTTCTACATACTTTTACCAAGATGCCGATAGCACAATTAATAGTATAACTATATCCTATTACATACGCATAGACGCATATAATTACCTTAAATCATTGCAATCATTGATATATCAATTCAGTCAAAGACATGGGTTTAATAGTCCCCGCGTACCATTATATATAAGATATGAAGTTCTGTAAAGAATCAAAATGATGGTAAATTCAGAGCACAAGCACCCCAGCCCGCCATTAACGAAGTACATACTTCTGTACTTTTCACCTACACAATATCGACTGTCCGAGATACACATAATACCGAAAAATCACTAAGTTCTATAGCTGCAGCATAATTATATCAAACAGTTCTTCCTATATTTTACTATGGACAGATTTACAACATTGATAAATGATAATGACCAGCCTGGCAGGGACTCAAACCCCTGACTACTTCGGTAATACACAGATTCCGCCGAGCTCTTGGACTTACCTTTAACTGAGTCTAATCGGTCCGCTTACGCGTTATACTTGAGTAATGGAAAATAACCTGAATAGTTATAAACCTACTGTGTATGCAAATATTTCTTCGAATTTCCCAGGGTTACTTAGCATTGTGAATTAATTTCTAGCTGGGCTATACAAATGTATGTCAATCACAAGGTGAGAAAAAAAGTGCATCCTGACATGGACTCGAACCCGTGACCCTCTAAATACCGTACCGCAGCTGTACCGACATTTTGTTAATAGTTTCATTATTTTTGTACATGTATAGTGAACATTTTTAATAATCAAAAATTGTACATTGTACTATTTCTATATTTTTGTACTAATAAAAAATAGCTTGATTTTTTTTCTAGATAAAAAATTCTATGATGGCTAAAATATACCATGTTGTACTTTTTAGACATGTAATCCAACAACAGACAGGCTAAGCCACCCTTTACAAAATTCCCCTATGTCTGTCAAGCCTCAATAATCAAGCATAGACTACACTCATTAGTTTGTATGTGGAGTAGCTTTAAAATTACTGTTTTCACTTATAAACCCCGGACAATAATAATAACACTTGATGAAAGCCGCAGAAACCACTCAAAGAAATGACCAAGCCAAGAGAGATACTGGTCTGGATCCATGCTGGTTCGACAACCCATTATGTTTTAGGTTATACCTGAGACGCGCGCCACCACCAAATTATATCATCCTTTTATGGGCTCTAATATGAGGTCTCTCATAATATAACCAGCACACTTTCGATCAAAAACAAATAATATAGCTCAACATAATATGATTTTTTTCGATCAAACACTATAACAAATCAAAATTATCAATAAAATCTACAATTATCACTTTTAGGATTTTTATTCAAATCAGGGTATTACATCATATACTTAAGACACATATGCAATACCCTCTCTTCTGACCAGTATACCTCCTGAAGCATAAGTCTAATGATGTCGCCAACTCTTGCACTCAACTTCTTCACACAAGTAATATAAGCCTATTCCAATAACTACAACCAATACTGACATCTTAATAACGGAAGATTTTATTCATCAGACTAGAGTAGAAATAGGTATGCGCCCTAGAAGTCCACGTCACTGAGTTTAACATAACACTCAAAGAGAGTTTATAAGACACAATAAACCAACTGATACAAATCTAACTATAAATATACTTCTAAAATCATTCTCCTTTGACTAATTTATATAAATATTTACAGAAACACCCAAATTTGCATACTAATTATATCATTTTGGAGGTACCATGTGTACAAATATATTCTTCAAATATGATTTGTAAGTTCTAACTATTTCACTTTCATATATCGAATTGTTATGGTTCATAGGGTTACGGTCAGCTCACAATACCTATATGCAAGACAGAATATGAGTAACTTAAGAGAATAAACTAAGTAATTAAAGCTCTTATGTATAACATGACATTAAAAAAAATCAAATATCAAATCATGACTGTAGTTAACACATGAAAACGAGACAACACTTATAACTGATGTATATAGTGAAAAATTCTATGTGAGACCCCAAACTATTCAAGCATAAAGCACTCAGAATAGCCACACATAAAACTCCCTTGACCCTACACCCGCGGCTCCCTCACACATATAGGGAGCGCGTAATAAAAAAAACTTAATCCTTATCTTCACCGTTGAAAAATGCAATACAGAAATTTCTCATACTAATAGTAACATAATAACTATTACATATTAAAATCTAAACAAACATACCATACTAAAATGACACCTAGAACAAACGGCAAAGTACCATAAACAAAATTCTTCAACCTAACAAAATATCGAGAGATATTTAGGCAAGGCAATCTCCTAGATGCCCCATAAGATAAATGTCCTAAGATTCAATGGCAACTAACACCCAAATACACCACTAAGATATGAAAACATATAATTAACCAATTATAGAGAACCTTGTGGAAATATAATATCTTAGCGAGAACAACAAAACATAATCTATCAATATTAATTAACAAATCGTAAATCTAATGACTAATTAGTAGCGGAAGAAGTCCCACACAAATTTCCTCACTTACAAAAAAATATGAAGATGAAGTATTATAGACAATACAATCTCTACCGTACAGCACCTTTACTTTCCTTAAGATAAGAACTACCAATTCACTACATAAATGGTAATGAGGCCGAATTTATTACCTTATTAAATAAACAGACCTAGAAATGAAACAGAATTATAAGAATGATCCAACAGTAAATACGAATACTATTAATACAAGCATATCTAAGTTGATTGACATAAGACATATCTCAATAAATTAACATTGAATATTCAAAAATTCTGGCCTTATTAATCACTTTATTCATGACATATAACTTATCACAAGCTGGTACACACCTTAACTATTTCATATAAACTAAATAGGCGAGAAAGTAACCTATCGACAATTTGCATACATATAACCCTTC